TTTAATTCCCATTCTAATTGTTTGTCCAATTGAGATCTTAAAGATTGTAGTCGATTTCTTTCAACTAAATTTCTTGTTTTCACAAATCTTGCAACATCTGGATTACGTGAACATTGTTCCCATTCAGTTTCCTCACGAACTTCATCTAAATTAGCTTGATCCTTAAAAAAAAACGATAATTTATAAAACATTTAAGAAAAAATTACCATTTGTGAATTGTGATAAAATTAATTTCTTCTTTACAATATTGAAAAAGAACTTTATTATGTTTCGTTCTTTTTCATTTACACTAACTGTTGAATAGGACTATATGGCACTAAGTTCTATTTTCACTGGACACTTGCATTATAAAACAAATGGGTGACCTTTAAATCAAGGTTGGAACACCCACGCAAAGAAAGTAGACAAATGAAAACACTATGACAACAGTTTAGTATTATTTCGATGGTATACTCAAATAAACACAAATGTTTGTTTCAAGTTTACATACACATGATGTACACACTTCTAATGAAGATAATATGAATAATAACTAAATATTATATGTTCTAAAATGTAAATTTGCATAAGTATGTATGTGTATATGTATGATACATGCAGATAAAGTGTACCTAATAAAAAGATCAAAAAAAATCTAAAGAACATTTTCCAAAAAGGTATTGTGAAGTGGACAACATAGAGGGATAATTATTGTGACTAATTCAATAAACTATAAGTTTAGTTCTTAATAATTGAAGTAGGTAGTAAAATCTGAAAGATTAAATTTTACCATTAAATTTCGTGAAGATTGGGTCATGATTTATTTAAAATGTAGCCGATGTGTTATACACAAATATTCAGAGAAAATTCAAAGTAGAAATCAGAGTAAAACCATTTTCTTAATACAATAATGACATTAAGTGATTTGCTGTATGATTTTATTGCTAATTCAATTGACCATTCAAATTCGTTCGGTTAGAAAAACAATATTCTTCTATAAATGATACAATCTGAGACAAAACTAATTTAAGCATGGAAAAATTCGGTTTCAAAAAAGTCACTTTTTTAAATTAGGAAACGAAAAGTGATCAAGAAACTGGTGTAATTAAGAGTTACCTGTTTGTAGAGATTAGAAGTATGTTTTGTGCATCTGAATTATGGCCGAAAGTAACAAATTAAAGAGTTGGATGGTGAACAGAAGTCCTTGAATAAACATCACTTCTGGGATGCATCCACATTCAGTTGACCAGTCCCAAGTAGGACGAAACGCACGTCTTAAATTTCATTGTTAGCCACCTTCAAATTCTCATTAAAGTGCTTGTGACTTAATGACAATATTGAAGTAATCCACACAGGAGGCACATGTACCAAAAAGACTAACCAATTACAATTCTAAATAACGATGGGACGATCCAAACAACCAATACAAATGAATTTTAGACTGCTTATTGAATTTGTCCAAATCTTTCGTGAATAACTGACTTCCAACTATTTAAAATCACAGAGATACCGCTATACATAGGATGAAGATAAACGTCTAAATTCGGAAAAAATTTCTTACCTTTGTTTTACTCATGGCTTTAATCTGTCATTCACTTATTTTTTTTAAGAATGCTGAAATTTCTCAAATGGTTCTCTACTTTCACAGAAAAGTTTTGACTAACTTCCAAACTCCAGAAATTGTCAGCGGCATTCTCTAAGGAAAAGCTTCTCCGTTCGTCCCTCTTTAAGTGTATCCACCGATTTCCTTATTTTATAGGCCAAGGTACATAAGCCTTTCCTAGTGTTTGCTTTTGATACGTGTTAGAAAAAAACAGTTCAACCTGGTTTTACAAGTATGATGGGTAATCGGCTAATCATGTGGCCTTTGAACACTGAATTAACCCTGACGAACCAACTATTTGACATTACTGATTTTAAGGTTGCTTATATAATTTTATAAATTTCTTCGTGCTTAACTGCTTAAAACAACGGAACTCTTGTTTACCCATGAGGTGATACTTGAACTTTATACATAAAGGAGTTATCAGCTTTCCCTTGTCCTGGATATAATAATATTACTTACATTTCGTACATTTTTGCTTATGGAAATGTACACCTCTTCTTTTCATAATTCCTTTCTTTTCTACTTGCTTTTAATATCATTTCATAAAATCTCACCTTTAATCGCTGGTATGAAACACACAAATCATTTTACTCCCTTCACATTATAATCCAGTGCTACCACACCATTTTCACATCCCTTCTTTATATACACACATCCTGTATCAGTTGTAGTCCTCTACACTATACCACCCGCTACTATAATCTCTTAATTACTCCATGTTTACTCAAATCACCGCCACGAACTAAGCCCTAAAATATGATACACTTAAGTCTACAAATTCATTGGAGTTTCTTTCACTAGAATTGTGAATGTTTTTAGTGAGTATTAAAGATTTACTAAAATACTAATAACTGAAGCGTCCTTAACATTCTACGATTAATTCGTAATAAATGTCTTGTGATTATGCCAACAGAAGTAATTATCTGTAAATGTAGACAATTCTAGTCCATTATTACATCACCGACTGATTAACTAGTGATTCTACTAATAATAAAAGTATACTGTATGCATCTATCTATCCGATAATCTACTCGTATAAACAGGAGAGTGCCACTGCGTCGCACCATCTCTCGGACCCCAGCCATGGAGTCGTGAAGGGCCAACAGAAGCCAGTCCTCCTCAGCTTTCACCATGCCATATACTGGTCACCTCTCCGCTTTTTCCAACCAGTCCCAGAGTCGGCAAATAATGCACGACGTGGAATTCTCTGAGACACCTTCGTAGAACATGTCCAAGCCACCGAAGTCGATGTTTCAAGATGGTGACACCAGCTGGATTACCGTCTCTGCGCCCGAACATGATGCCGAACCTCTGCATTACTGACATGGTGTTGCCACTGGATATCAGCAATCCTTCGGAGACGACAATGTTTAAACACAGAGAGTACTCTAACATCCTCAACTCGGAGAGGCTAGGTTTCACAAGCAAAGAGCAGAACTGCTCTCACCGACGCGTTGTAGATCCGATCTTTCACAGCCAGATTGACATTACGAAGGCGCGATGTTGGCCCAGATTGGCATAAGCCGCTCTGGCTTTCACTATACGTGCATTGATCTCACCACTCACACCACCACCAGCACTTATGCAGCTACCCAGCTACACGAACTTCTCAACTACTTCTATCTGCTCACCATCCAGAGTGAGTACAAGATTAGAATCCTGCGTCTCGTAGAAGTACTTTGCATTTCGAAGGTACAAAGCACATACCGTACCTACGCACATTGATTGCCAACTGATTAAGTGCGGATTGCATGCCTTGGGCATTATCGCACAGTAAGACAATATCATCTGCATACTGAAGGTTGAGAAGTCTTTCTCTAGGCAACAGATTCACACCATCATTACTTACATCCATCAGAGCTGTTACCAGAATGTCATCGATGGCAAAGTTGAAGAGGAATGGTGAGATTGGGCAACCCTGTCTAACCCCACTGCTCGAATGGAACAATGGAGAGAGGTGGTTGTATGCCCTCACTCTGCCTGAGGTGTTTGTATATAGGGTCTTTAGGATGTTAATAAACTTCTCAGGCACACCTTCAATAGACAATCCCAGAGAACAGTACTGTCCAGCAAATCCAAGGCAGCTCTAATGTCAGGAAACGCTACGATTGTTGGCCTTTGATAAGTATGACGTCCTAACATTTTGCGTAGGGTGAAGATATGATCAATACATCCTCGACCAGAACGAAACCCAGCCTGCTCCTCTTGAGTAGAAACTTTCTCGGTTTTGAACAACCTACTAAGTATGACAGAAGACGCCCAACCTGAGCATTCAAGTCTCCGGCTAGTACTACAATATCTGTCGAACGCACTTTCTGGAGAAGAACAGTTAACTGGTGGTATAATTCATCCTTAATTGCATCCGGCATGCAATCTGTCGGGACATAGACGGAGATGACGAAAAGATATCGTTCCTCACGCCGATTTCTTTTCACTTTGATGGAACTTTCTAATCTAACAACACATAACCGACTGTTAATGATCCAATCGATTAGTGCTGCCTCAGCTCTAGCGCTTAGTGCGACACCAACGCCAGCAAGACTAGATGAAGATGCCACAGGGCCCCCGCATAAACACACGTAAAACAGGCCTCTCAAAGTGATACATGGAGAGCGAATTTGTAGTACTTCACCAGAGTCTTGAATACGGGTCTCGGACAGACAACAAACATCGATATTACGACTTTCCAAAGACATAGCCAGCCCTATCTGTTGTCCGACCTGCATAAGTGTGCGAACGTTGAAGTCTTCCAGTTTGAATGGTGCGCGTGGTTTCAGAAAAACTGCTTCAGTATTCGTATTTGGTGGTAGCATACAATTTTTCAACCAGGCAGTGACTCCCGAGTGCCCAAACCGAAGCAGGTGGTTTACTTAGGGGGCCACACCCCGAGCCTTTGACCTAAATGTCCGACCCACAAGGCGGTGGAGGATCGTGAGATCTGGTCCCATGGCAGCCGGTGACCAACAATTGGTTCATACGCCATTTGTTCCCTCAGGGTACTGGGGCCCATGTGCACCATTGGTTTGGGATCCGGTTAAAGCGACGTACATCCGCTTTTCGTTCTCTCAATTTCGTAAACAACACCCCACCGCGAGAAGGCAGTGAGTAGGACTTCCCTGGCAAAGCTGTATACGTGTGGCCGTGGGAGAGCGGCCCCACCCCACTTTCGACCATACTAGGGCATTTAGGAGCAATAACAAATCTCTTTATTCTTTTTTCCCTGACGTTTGGTTTCATTTCCATTAAAATTAGGACTGATAAACATGGTTGGAAAACACTTAACATAATTCCGGAAATTTACTATAGAGTACTTAAAAATGAGCGATTTGTTTAACTGTCATTTGGAAATAACTTCATATATTCTTGATGGTTTGTTTTAATTATGCTGTAAATATATTATTTCCTGTTCTGTTCAGTTTCCCGATTCATTTCATTCACAGTTTCTAATGGTTCTGATTGAAGGGCACCCATGAAATTAAACGACTCTATGCTAAGACGGGATAAAGCGCAGGTTTGCTTTAATTTGGAGTATTTTTTGTCATGTATCATGCGCATCGCATTAACTAGGTTTAAATTTATAGCTTGGAAATCATCACATTCCTAGTCTGATTTTAACTACTTAGATGAACAACACAGAGAAGTTGCTTAAACTAGGAAGTCTGCTTGAATGATCTAATGTGATGTGTTTTGAAGCATGTTAACCGACAACAAGCTATATCAAAAAAGTTTACCATAGCTCCAGTTGACTTCTAAAAATATGCTCATTGAATCGATAGTTACATAAATTAGTTTCATCTGAATAAAAATGCGTAATAATTTAGTTCATTATATTTTTTCTCTTAGTAATAAAATCAACTGATCTATGGATTAAATACTACTGGACTATTTTCTGTCCATTTATGATTTGTAACTGTATGCAGAAAGTACTTAGGAATTTTGAATAAAACAATGTAATTTTCGACATAAGCATTAAAAAAAATCTCGAAATAAATAAGGCACCACGTGACCAACCTGTTTTATCATTTCACAAAGTAATTTTTCAGCAATTATATTGTATACAATACTTGTACAGAACAACAAATTATGCATAGATATCACACTCTAGTTATGGAAAAAAGTCAAACTATTTTGATGTCTGTTTACTTATACAAACGAGAGCACGTGAAGTTTGTCTGACACCAATCGCTGTCCATCTTTTCTGAAAATAGACATCCACCAGAACAAATTTATATTTTACTTGCCCTAGTATTTCTGGTAATCCCTACCAATACAAACACTGTGAATACTTTGGGGGGGGGAGCCATTCACTTTTCTAGTAACTGGAACAATTTCTCTGGAAGAAGACTGAAAGGTAATAAAGAGTGGTGGTTGTTGATAGATGGACTGCTTCTTATCATCAATTTTCGAGACGCTTGTACTACAAGGACTTCAATATCAATGAAGGAGATTGCTTACTTCTCCGAATACTGACTAAAGACATAGGTCCAAGTTTGTTAGACGTTTTGTTGATAGAAATCCAAAAAACTGATCCATATTTGAATTCATTCCATTGTATACAGATTACACTCAATGATTAAAAGTCAAAGAAAGTCAAAATGAACAATTATCATACAGAATTAGTATAATTGAATACTATACTGAACAAAAGTCAAGTAATCGAAAAAATCACACTGAAGTAATTAATACCAATTAATGTTACAGTGAGCAAAAGTTACGATGATTCCATACGAGAATCAACTAGATGGAAATCACGTTCAAATTAATACATAGTTTTTCACAATTTCTTATTAACAAAATTGGATTGCTCATAAAACCCTTAAACATTTGAATTCGGAAACTTCTTTGATAGTTCATCCTTATAGCATCAAAATACTTCATAAATTATAATAGTGTAGATATGCCGTATTGGGGAAAGAGCTTAAATAAACTATTTCTAGTACTCAGTTCCTACTTTGTACCCACTTATAACCTACAAAGAACGTGTTTATCTCCAAATCGTGATTGCACGATCGATTTCTTGGTTCCCTATAAAATTAAATCTATGGATTTAAGTGAGTAATAACATTTGAAGTATATTAAGATGTAGGAAAAGACTTGAAGTTTCTAATGGAAACCTCAAAAAATCTAATATATTGTGTAATCAATCTATATAGTCTTTAGAACTAAATAAGAAAACACGATTATAATTTTGTAAACTTTATTTAGAACAACAGGAAACAAAAATAATCAAAACACTACTTGGTGTTTGCATGATTTTCTGTTGTATTACCATTTTGTCCAGAAACCTAGATAAATGAACGTAAAAATTATTAGTTGAGTATTCTTGTTCATATTAAGAAAATAATTAACTCAGTGTGGTGTGTGCTACTTATATTGACATAAGTAGTAGATGATGGTGGTCGTGAACAGAATGTCTGACAGCAGAGAAACAAAAGGATCGAACAGTAAAGAATGGAAACAGAATGCAATCTGTATGAAAATGCAAGAACAATGAAGTCTGATTCATTTTGAGACAATCGATGGACATTTTGCAAATTAAGCATTTAATTTATGATTGTTAGATTTTATTAACAAGTCCTGTAATTTTGTGTTAAATACATTCGATTGTTCCACTGGTGTCCTTGTTCGCTAAATCAGAATCTATGGGTATATAGATAAAACTGACTAATATAACATTTTACCCACTAGCTGCTCTAGTTTAAAAAAAAGGAAACTTAATAACATAGTACTTGTGTCAGGTTGCAGTAGACTGAAAGAAATAACGAATTAAAAGAAGACATATAAATGAAACCTGTGATTAAAAGACATTAACTAGATTTTTCTATTATAGTTGTAGTTATTGAACCTGATTATCTACTTTGTAAAAATTCCAATAGGTAGGTCAGTATTTCCTAATATGATAGTTGGTGAACCTAGTGACGGTCGCAGCATCTCGAACTAGATTAAGTTGACTTGGTCATTCAGTCATCAACATAGAGGCAGACAAAGACGCGAATCGGTCCAAGTTGCCATAGCACATTAGCACAAGATGACAATAACTAAGATGAACGAAAACACATGGTACAGAGGTGTATGCAGGAATACTGAAATTCAATATCCAGAATAAGATAAGTTGTAAATGCTTCTTCATGTCGAATCTCTAGACAGTAATCACGGTTACTGCGTGGACCCCAACCAAGTAGACTACATCTAACAACACAGCCCAGATCAATAATCCCTGGCTTTATGGACAGATGGTTCGGCCGACCTTAGTTTTCTTCCAGCATACTATTACGCCCTCAAACAACGCCTTACGTAACATGTTATAATCACCCAAACGGATAAAAATTTACAATCTCACCAACTGATCTGCCATTTTGCCTAATACTAAAAGCCTAACCTAAGCATCACTCAATAGGCAGTCCCACACAACGTGACCAAGGCTTGGGAGACAGTTATGATAAAAAGTCCTCAGCCCACTTATCCCCTCTACTTTCGATTTTTATGTCTCATAGCTATGAAATGATGCACAGAACAGTGTACATGCACTTTAGTTGGTAGACAGGCATCTTGCCTACACAAAAAGAGAAGAAAGTTAGCAAAAGGCAGTCAGGCTTTTTGTATTCGTGTGCCGATTTACTCAGACACCAACCCGCCAGTGTTGATGGAACTCAAGATAAATGAAGTTATCAACACACAAAACCACTTCGTTCTCTAAAGCGGTAATGCACAACATTTCTGAAAGCTGCATTTTGCCTACGTCTCTATCAAATAGGACTAGATCACCTGAGTATTCTTAGTCGATAAGCAAACCTCGTGGCAAAAGGTCAACCTCTGAAAAGTTAGGTGAATGGAGTTATTTCTAGAAGGACATTACAGAGAAGTTAAATAAAACGTTGGGTAGTGAGCAACCATGCTGAAAAGCACTTGAGGTCAACAATTCTGGTGAAAAATCACCATAAACTTTGACTCAGCCAATAGTATTCAAGTGGAGAGCCTGTACAAGGTTTACAAGCCTTTTTTATACACTTTTCGATAACGAACATTGACATACAACCTTTAGTTCAACAGAGTAAAACGAGACCACAAGACCAAGGAATAAAATTAAGGTTGTGTATCGGTACGTACGCCTGGGTTCCAAAACCAGGGGAAGAGGGAGCATTTGATCAATACATCCATGTCCAAGTATGAAAGTAGCCTGATTGTTTTAGGTTCGATCTTTATGAGCCCTAGTTAAGCGGTAGATGATTAGAGTACGTTAGATCCTACACTAATCAAAATGATTCTTTTATGATTATCACAACAGAATTATTCTTTCTTGTAAACTGGAGAGATTGAGATCGAAGCCAGTCAGATGGGATTATGTCCAGCTCTCAAACTTCAGCTTAGTTTTTAAAACTGGACAACCATCTTTATGGATCTTATTACGGTTCACCGCTCTTCAACTTATAGTTCTGCTTCTATTTTATTTGTTTCTTAACACAAAATCTCACAAGGTATTAAAAATACTCTATACAAACAAAGACAGGATAGTTATATAATTAGAATATCAAAGTTCATGTCTCAGACCAGAACACAAGATGGGTTTCGATATTGTATTCTAAGAATACCGCCGATTTTATTGTGGAGTACTTTTCATAAAGACTCAAGTTACTAAATGGTATAATTTCTAGGATTTCATTAACGCAGATGTGATGTACGGCCACCAAGAACTAAATCATCGTAAAAATCACGGATTTTACGGGGACCTGTCATTAACTGATCATCTCTTTCATTTGCCACTTTGTAAGAATAAGCTCGAATGGACTCTGAATTTTACGCTTTAAGTGTGACAGAAAATATCAAAGATTTTCAGACCTTAATTCACATTTACGGAATAGCTTAGAATAAACGTTTTCTGTGTTAGGGCAGAATACGATATTTAAAAAAAAGTAATGAAAGCGAACTTAGGTTGGAACTTAAATCATCAACTAGAAATAACAAACTAGCTTACGGTTATAACATCCCAGCTATTCTAATTAATTGTTGATTTTGAGCTAAAGAATACCATCGGTAAGGTGATATGTATCCGTATGTTTCGGAATATATTAAGTTTATCCTTGTGAAACTTATCAGTGTTTTTTTCAATATGATCTTTCTAGATAACCAGTAAACGTTTATTTTAGGATGTTGTAATTTGTTGCACAGACCTAAGCTCTTTACAATTTTGATAAGCAGGCAGAATTTTTCCTGAAGAATAGTGTACCGTCTCAGTCAGTCAGTCAGCTAAAACGTAGGACCAGGCACATATATACAACGGTCCAAGTTGCCATACCGCATTAGCACAGCAAGATGAACACCAAATTAATAGTTTAAGGGAAGACAGAGAGTGTATACACCTACCCAATTGTGATCGATTCTGAGCCATGTCACCCACAGTATCCAAACACTAGTTACAATAGTCACAACAAAGCAGTCTGCATCTACAGACATGGCTCAAACTAGAAGTTTGTGACTCCAAGAACTGATGCCACGTTTTAGCTTGGTCACCCCTAACTTTCTTCCAACCACTCCCAACACCGGTTAGCATCGCGCGTCGTGGTAAACGGTGTTCAGGCATACGCAACGTGTGGTCCAACCATCTCAGTCGATGAAGATTCACCAACTCATCAATTGATTTACCATCATTCCTTAATACACTGAGTTTAACCTCATTATTACTCACTAATACCCAGTGATCCCAGCAGTGCTGGAAATCTTTCTGAAACATATGGAATCAAATACTAGTAACTTACAAGTACCCTCTCTCTATGCCTACTGGCCACGTCTCGCAGTCACAAAATAAAACAGAACCAACTGTTGCTCTGTATAGTCGTCCCTTAATTGATAGACGGATATCTTGCCTTCGCCATAGGTGACGTAAGTTGGCATAAGCCAAACGACCATTTCGAATCCGTGATCACATTTCGTCTGACACCAACCCATTAGGGCTGATCAGATTTCCAAGATAAGTGAAGTTGTCAGCGTGTTCGACTACTTCACTCCCTATCCACAGTTCAGGTGTTGACGCAGGTCAGCACTGAAGCAATAACTTGCATTTAGAGTGGAGAAACGCATCCCAAACATCCTGACATTGTTGCTCAGTGCTACCAAAATACTCTGCATTTTATCAGCATCTTCACCAAACAGCACTATGTCATTTGTGTATTCTAAGTCAATAAGTGGCCCTCCTCGTAGGAGGTCAATATCCCCAAAAATTCAGTCAACGAGAACGTTATTTCCAGTATTAAGTCTATGATGAAATTGAACAGAAATGGAGATAGTGGACAGCCTTGACGGTTGAAAAATCAGATGAAGTCTTTCCATAAGCACTGACCCGACTAGTAGTGTTCGAGTAAATAGCCTTCACAAGGTTTATGTACTTCTGAGGAACACTTTTCAATGACAGACACTGACACAGAACCTCTCGGTCTACAGAGTCAAATGCTGCTTTTAATTCAAAATAAACTTTCATTGTCGGACGCTGATAAGCATGTCTGTGTTCTAAGATCTGGCGAATGGTGAAAATGTGGTCGAAGCAGCCACGACCAGGTCTGAAGCCAGACTGATTTCCTCGTGTTTGCTGTTCACCAGTTTTAGTTAGGCGACCGTTTATAAAGACATGAAGGCCTTATCTAACCTATAATTTTAAAATCGTTTTCTATTTCGGTTATAACAAATATTTGAGATAGTTTAAAATAAAAGTTTGTCATGAAAACATACTGCTGTATCACACGGAGCATCCTGATTAACAAACATGGAAGGATCAAATACACTTTGGGTAACCGCCATTTCAGTTTTAAGTGAGCTTAGTTCACTTAGGAAGTTTTGTGCCACCTCTTGTTGAACACTGGGAGTTAGAGAATCCCAATTGTGAAGGTAAGTCCAAGGTTCTTCAAGAACTTTCTGATATGCTATTGAATTTTGCAAACAAGATAAATCCATGTGAGGAACAACGAATTCATCATCTGAAAGGTAAGGAAACAGTAGTAATGAATTTAATTTTTGAGATCTCAGAATAAAATTAGCACTCACTAAAAAAAGGTAGAATGCAAAATGAAATATCAAATTAGCAGTCAAACTATCGGAACATATAGGCGAATCTCAGGACTATTTAACTTTATATAGTAATGGTAGGCTATTTAAGTCCACAAAATAGTATGTGATAAACTGAATTTCTCGTTATTAAGGAAAAGTAAGCTGATGCATACTGATCGCTAATTTACTAAAGAACTAAACAATGATAAAACTATTTTGATAAAGATAGAGAACTAGGACGTACACTAATAAGTGTTTTACAGAAGTCTAGATTACAGTTCTTCCGTACTATTCAAGTAAGGATTGGTTAGAGAAAACATTATAGACTTAGATTTATATTAGATCAATTTAACGCTGAAAACCTTACTCTACCGTAAAGAACTAGACTTTTTCCATACTATTTTTGATGATCATTTAGTGGCCTGTTGACCTGGCATCAATTTGAATTAATGAACGTGTCATGAGTGTGAATCTTCCGTTTAATTCCATATATTAGACATACGCTAACCCCGTTTCTGCGACGGTGGTAATAAGAAGCCAAATACGGATTAAGGTGGATGAATTTATCTCAGGCAGATATCAAAATGAGAAGTAAGAATGCGAAGCGAAGACAAGCGTGCCAACTCTATTTGATGTGGTGTAACTCCCCATTTTTATTCAGACAAAAACAAGCTAAAGACATGTGATGAATAGAGCAAGTGATACACGCATGCTTAAATGAAAACAGTCAAGGTTATGGGGAACAGTTAACAAGGTCAAACTGTGACTCAGGCATAAGAAATTGGTCTGTATGAAGGCTAGAATAACCCCTGGAGAAATGACATAGTACTAGACTCTACAATCGCACCATTTATGTAAACATGTGTTTGTAAAAGCGAAAGGAGAAAATCATGATTTAAAATGATAACAGCAATAATCTAATTTCACATAATTCTATATTCCTGGAGTACGAAGCAGAATTAACATTTTCTCGTGCATGGCCCACCATGAACGATAAAACGGCTTATTGAACAGTGGCCTAGGGTTTTCAAACAGTCTAAACGTCAAAAATTCTTACCAGAATCATTTTAACAAAACTTAGTCCACCGTCAGCTATTATAGTGATGTCTGGTATACAAGTCGACATTTGGATGTTATCGAACATAGCAAACAGGTTTACGATACTATTCACCTTGGTGGGGTTTCGTTCTCTGAGTCAATTGGTTTAGTCATGAAGCTTTCATCTTCCAACGCCACTACGACAAACTTTGAACAGATTTACCAGCGTTGAAAAAACCTGACTGTTGAGAGTTATTTGTGATGGGTTCCTGATATTTCTGAACAAATCTAAGGAGTGGTAACTACATCTGCAAGTCTTGTTTCATGTGCACTACGATGAAATCGGTAAACTATTTAATGTTTTATTTTAACACATAGATATTGGTACAAGGGGGCACCAAATGAATATGAACCACACATCTCATTTGATATGTGTGAGGGCTGTGATACTGCCCGGGTGCCCAAACTGAAGCAGATGGTTTTCTTAGGGGGCCACACCCAGAGCCTTCAACCTGAAGGTCTGATCCACAAGGCAGTGGAGCATCGTAAAGAGATGCAGTCCCATGGTAGCCGGTGACCAATAATTGGTTCATACGCCATTTGTTCTCTCAGGGTACTGGAGCCCATGTGCACCATTGGTTTGGAATTAGGGTTTTCCAACTCCCTTAGGTGAACTTTCCATGTCCACCAACCCGGTTAAAGCGCCGGAAATTCGCTTTTCGTCATCTCAATTTCGTAAACAACACCCCGGCCACGAGAAGGCAATGAGTAGGACTTACCTGGCAGAGGCTATATACGCGTGGCCATGTGAGCATTTCGAGAGGGTGAGCGGACTCTCCCAACTTTTGGCCGTACTAGGGCATTTGGGGGCGTCGGTAAACAAACCTCAGTACGAAAAGCAGGTAATAATAGTACCTGGAGATCCATGCAAAGGACTGTTCTTAGAATGTCGCCGATATCGAAGTTGAAGAATGGTAAGTATGGGCAACCCTGCTAGATCAGAATAACGGAGAAAGGTGACTGTAAACGTTTCCCATGTCTAAAGTGTGTACAGAACCTTTACGATGTTAAAAAGCTCCTTAGTCACTACGTTATTCAACAGACAATCCCAAGGTGCAGAGCTGACCAATGAATTGAAAACGGTTTTGGTATCAAGAAACACGTCTGTACCAAGTGTGGCAGTGCACTAACAGTTCTCAGAGAACGACGATGTGATCAATGAGTCCATGACCTGGTCGAAGGCCACCTGCCTCCTGAGGATCAGTCTTCTATGGATTTCGTAGTCATGATCGAAGTCAATATCTTGGATGCAATCAAAAGTAATTGTTACCTACATCACACTAACGATAAATATCCGTCGATTAGTATAAAAAAGTGATTTTTAATTCGGACGTCATTATAGTCAAGTTATTTGTAATCAAACAAAGTTTATTTTCTGTACTTTTCATATCGAATCAGCATCATTAAAGAACAACAAGCGTTCCCTCATCGTGATGTAGCAGTACATACGCAATGTTCAGACATTCTAGATCTTTAATTTTTGATACAAACATCATCGCAACAATCAACACAGCCATGAACGTAAACATTATCATTTACAGTAAATTGCTAAGTGGTAGCCACGATAATACCGGTTTAAAGATCAAATGGAATTACAAAAACTAACAAGTGGGTATATTTAAATTCACAAAGTATTTGATAGACTATTTCAAGGAGTCGATACTTAACAATTCCAAAATAACAAAACTCCTCCATGATAAAGTAAAGACACGAGTTGAGAATACCTGGGTTTGGGAGAGTTCGGTTAACAACTCGACTATTCTGAGCGTATTGATGTATGCGGCTTCAGAGCATAAACTTTCTAACAATGAATTCACTAACAAATATAAAATTATTAGTCCTAGGTGACTTTCACTGGTACGCCAAAATATACTACGAAATCACTTGAGATGTATAGCGACTTATCAAAAAAATTTACGTTACATTTTTGACCAGTAATTATGGTTCAGCACTAAAAACAAGTATAGATTACGCAGTCCAGTCCTTCTACATTGTCATAGGTCACTGAAAAATTACGATTTGACTTTTGACCGAACTATTCGCTAACACAGTGTAAGACGTCTAAAGGAAATAGATAAGGATATTTCTGTATATTACTGGAGGTACTTATGCAGCAGAAATTCCTGATGAGGCCATAATCTATGAACGAACTAATCAAATTTAAGATCGATCTTTGGATTTGGCGAGAAATTCAACCACTCATACTGCTAAATATAATATTGGTATCATAGCCTGTAGCTCTAATAGGGTTACTGCCGGTCCCAAGCCCGGGTAAAGGAGGAGGGTTGGGCATGGGGTTAGCGTCCCCATCCCGTAGAAAACTAACTCGCTAAAAAAACGCTTACCAGAAAAAATTATTCAAACCATTTAAACTCTGCCCTGGGAGTTAGAAGAATTATGACGCTTCATGGTGAAAGCCGAGTTCCTTCGGAAGCCACGAGGCCGATGCCCCTTCTAACAACCAGAGCAAAAATTTTTATAGGTACATGGAACGTTCGAACAATGTGGGAAACCGGGAAGACCAGTCAAATAGCAATGGAAATGAGGAGATACAACTTAGCAGTACTGGGAATCAGCGAAACCCACTGGACCCAAGCTGGACAGAAAAGGCTAGCTACGGGAGAGATGCTGCTATACTCCGGTCACGAGGAGGACAATGCTCCACACACTCAGGGAGTCGCTCTTATGCTGTCCAAAGTAGCACGAAATGCACTTGTAGGATGGGAGTCTCACGGATCCAGAATCATCAAAGCATCATTCAAAACAAAGAAGGAGGGGATCTTAATGAATATTATCCAATGTTATGCACCCACCAATGATAGCAACGACGACATTAAAGATCAGTTCTACGAGCGGCTACAGTCAATCATTGAGAAATGCCAAGAAAGGACCTAACTATTCTGATGGGAGATCTAAATGCCAAAGTCGGAATAGACAACACCGGATATGAAGATATCATGGGACGACATGGACTGGGACAGAGAAACGAAAATGGAGAAAGATTTGCAAATCTATGTGCATTCAACAAATTGGTCATAGGAGGCACAATATTTCCACACAAGCGTATACACAAGGCTACATGGATCTCACCGGACCACACTACAGAGAACCAAATAGATCATATTTGCATCAACAAAAAATTCCGAAGGACAATGGAAGATGTAAGAACCAGGAGAGGTGCTGACGTAGCTTCAGATCACCACCTAGTTGTAGCCAATTTAAAACTGAAGCTAAAAAAGAACTGGACAAGTGGACAAACAGCACTACAAAGGTTCAATACAGCCTTCCTTCGAGATACTGACAAACTCAATGAATTCAAGATAGCTCTCAACAACAGGTTCCAAGCCTTACAAGATCTACTGAAAGAAGAAGAAACTAGTATGGAGGACAACTGGAAAGGCATCAAGGAAGCATTAACTTCAACGTGTCAAGAGGTTCTGGGCCTAAAGAAACACCATCATAAGGAATGGATCTCTATAGAAACACTGGACAAGATCAAAGAAAGGAAGAACAAGAAGGCAGCAATTAACAACAGCCGAACACGAGCAGAGAAAGTCAAGCACAAGCTGAATACATAGAAGCAAACAAACAAGTGAAGAGGAGCATTAGAGCCGACAAGAAGAAATACGTGGAAGAACTAGCAACGACGGCAGAAAAAGCTGCTAGAGAAGGAAATATGAAACAGCTTCACGATACAACGAAGAAACTAGCAGGGAAATACAGTAAACCAGAGAGGCCGGTCAAAGACAAAGAAGGCAAGCCAATCACCGAAATTCAACAACAGCGTAACAGATGGGTGGAATACTTCGAGGAACTCCTGAATAGGCCGGCTCCAATGAATCCACCGGACATCGAAGCAGCACACATAGATCTTCCTATAGATGTCAACCCACCAACGACGGAAGAAATTAGAATGGCCGTCAGACAAATCAAGAACGGGAAAGCAGCAGGACCCGACAACATACCAGCTGAAGCACTGAAATCAGACATCGAAGCAACCACAAGCATGCTATACCTTCTATTCAAAAAGATTTGGGAGGAGGAACAAGTGCCGATGGACTGGAAAGAAGGACACCTCGTCAAGATTCCAAAGAAAGGAGATCTGAGCAAATGTGAAAACTACAGAGGCATTACACTACTGTCAATACCAGGGAAAGTCTTCAACAGAGTGTTGCTGAACCGGATGAAGGATGCAGTAGACGCCCAACTTCGAGATCAACAAGCTGGATTCCGTAAGGATCGGTCGTGCACAGACCAAATTGCAACACTACGGATCATCGTCGAACAATCAGTGGAGTGGAACTCATCACTATACATCAACTTCATTGATTATGAAAAGGCATTCGACAGTGTAGATAGGAGGACATTATGGAAACTTCTTCGACACTACGGAGTTCCTGAGAAGATTGTCAACATTATCCGGAACTCATACGACGGACTACAGTGCAAAGTAGTGCATGGAGGACAGCTGACAGATGCATTCCAAGTAAGGACTGGAGTCAGACAAGGCTGTTTACTCTCTCCCTTCCTCTTTCTTCTGGTGGTCGACTGGATTATGAAGACCTCGACATCTGAAGGAAAACACGGAATACAATGGACAACTCAGAATCAATTAGACGATTTGGACTTCGCAGACGACCTAGCCCTCCTATCACGTACACACGAACAGATGCAGATGAAGACAGCCAGTGTAGCAGCAGTCTCTGCATCAGTAGGCCTCAGCATACACAAAGGGAAAACCAAGGTCCTCAAATTCAACACGCAGAACAGCAATCAAATCACTCTTGATGGCGAAACTCTGGAAGATGTAGAGTCCTTCACATACCTAGGAAGCATCATCGATGAACAAGGAGGTTCAGATGCAGACGTAAAGGCGAGGATCGGCAAAGCAAGGGTCGCATTCCTACAATTGAAGAACATATGGAACTCAAAACAACTTTCAACCAATATCAAAGTGAGAATCTTCAATACGAACGTCAAGGCAGTTCTACTGTATGGAGCTGAAACTTGGAGAACTACAACAACCACAATCAAGAAAGTACAAGTATTTATAAATAGCTGCCTACGCAAGATACTCAACATCCACTGGCCGGATACCATCAGCAATAGCCTTCTGTGGGAGAGAACAAAGCAACTTCCAGCTGAAGAAGAAATTAGGAAAAGACGATGGAAATGGATAGGACATACATTACGCAAATCGTCAAACTGCATCACGAGGCAAGCCCTAACTTGGAACCCTGAAGGGAGGCGAAAAAGAGGAAGGCCAAAGAACACATTGCGTCGGATTATAGAAGCAGATATGAAAAGGATGAATTACAACTGGACGGAGCTAGAAAGGATTGCCCAGGACAGGGTTGGATGGAGAATGCTGGTGAGTGGCCTATGCTCCTTCACGAGGAGTAACAGGCGTAAGTAAGTAAGTAAGTAAGTAAGTAAGTGAGTAAGTAAGTAAGTAAGTAAGCTGATGTCAGTCCGCGATGAAAACATTTTGTCTAAATCCCAATCCTAACGTTCCTAATTCCTTACATCAACATAAAATCCTCATTTAATCCTAATAAGTTTGTAGACATTCCATGGTCATTTCAGAGTTACTCAAACGTCGTCAATAAATTATAGTCTCACTAAATTTCTGTTGGATTTCGAAAAAGACCAACATCCCTTCATCGATACTCAGAATCTGAGCAATTTTCACATTGCTGTGTCGAAGTTTTTATAAAACTTGGAGAAGTCCTCAAAAGCCGATGAATTGTTTGTGGAAGTTCACTGGACTAGTTTAAATTTTGCGATTCGGTGTTGTCTTTATTCCGAAGTTACCACTGAGTCTATCAATTCCTCCGAAACGTCGAAATTTTTAGAATACTTGAGTGGCACCAAATGAAATATTTTAATTTTGCAAACAATGAAGAACAATATGCCTTCAAATAACTACCTTGAGAAACCATGCCTTAGGGCAACGTTACGTTTTAAAAGTGGTGCTAGTAAACCTCTCGCAAAACTTACATAATAAATTCAGTATTTCTTAACCAGTAATGTCAATTCTTGTGAAATGCGAAATTCGTTTTCATTGTCTTCATATTTCTCTCGCAGTTCTTAGATTCAACAGTCTACAATAATTCTACTGTTTTCGTAATTATGAATGTATTTCATAAGTAATTTTTGTAATGATGAGCATTTTTCACAGTTGCACACAGCTTGCACAGTCTCTTTTGTTGAATGTCGTGTCTCTGTTCAACTTTTTCATTGATCTTCTGTTATCTCTCTATTCTTTGTTCGCTTGAAACTGATTTTCACTGTCACATACTCTGGTGCATACACATTTGCAGATCTATAACGGACATCTTGTATATCAGCAATCCATGTTAAAACATCGTAATAATATTTCCATTACGTATTTATTCCGTATACCTCTTATCTTTGTTTATATTTATTATACTTAGAATCCTAGCGTATTTCGTTTAACTGAGGATTACTAAATCAAAACTCAAAACTTCGTATACATTTTGTTTGTTGGTATTCATGGTTGGATGTATTATCAACTATCTTCGTACTATTTGTAATAACTCTATCACCATTTCTGAACTTGGTCCACCGCACTGTCTTTACAGTTAATAATTTCATTTTGGAAAGAGAGATATGTAAGAAGGCTTCAGTTGGTTGCATACATTGCGCATAAATGAAGATTTGCATAAATTCTGGGTCATCGAGTTCAACTATAAGACGGTGGAATGTAATGGGTTGTAGACAATCTGTGACTTTATCTGCAAGGTCTGGGTCCCTATGGATAACGGACTGGATTGGGAAAACGAAAAAAATGTTTTAAGTCATAAATTGGTTGATTTTAGTTGGCAGATTTCTCTATAGATACTCAATTTAGTGTCAACAACTCTAGCAGCTGTTGGTTAGGTATATATATTAATTTTAAATTTCATTGTTTACAAACTCTGGATCACGTTATTTTTGTAAAAAAGGTACTGAATCCTACACTTTACATCAGAATGAATCTTGGGGTATTGTTTCGCCATACACCTAACACCCGACCATTCTATTAGTAGGTCCGGATCTCTTATGATAATATTCATTTCAATAGATCGTCGGGATGTGAAATGATCAACGATATTAGAAAACCGAAAACATAATTCATACATAAGATGAGTAAGATATAGTTTGCAATGTATTTCTAGTTTGATGAAAACCTTCTAAGGCCAAGCCAAATTATCTCACAGACTCACGTACCCCTGAATTAAAATACTGATCACTGAAAGCTGAATCATCTACAAAACTCTATATCCATACCATGGAAGAACTGAATAATTCACATACTGATGCTGGTGAGTGTGGCTACCTGTAGGTTCCTATACCTAATTTTTCATATCCGTCATGACAAGTGTGTCAAATTCCGCTTAGTAAAATTCTGCCTGTGTTCTGAAGGCATTGCTGAACAAGGGCAGCCTGACAACTTAGTCAGAATGAACGAGGCTAGGACAGATTAAATGTAGTGACTCTAGTAAAAATTGTTTGAGTTGAACAGTCATAACATTATATTTTAACTCTTGAGAGCCAGGATGTGTTAGTCGGACTGTATAAGCAAGCTTTATAGACCATTTATTGTCAAACACCTACACTTGTTTTCTGGTGCACTACATTAACCACCACTTTTCGGCTTATCATTATTCCGTACTATTTGCCTGCGTGCAACACAGCAGTCAGCCTTTCACAGAAGTGAATTTCTCTCGACTAGGATTTTTAAATCTGATAGTACTTTTGTCGGTTCGACTTAAAGGTAGATCTCCGGAAACCGCCGAAAAATACAGTATGTAGCTTCTGGTTTTTATGGGGACAGAGTTTCCCCAAAAGAAAAATAAACATGCCAAGCGTAGACTACATGCTGCAGGTTCGTTTTAATTTCCAGAAAGTGTCACGTTTCATTCAAACACAGCTGTGATAAGGAATGAACCCACAGGTTTCACGATGTAAGCAGCAAGCTGATATATTTGACTAGGATGCTCCTCAATAGGGTTTGTCGATCTTCCTATATCATAATTGTTCACTAGTCGGATAGACTGAGATATTAAATAGTCGGTTGTTTCAAGTTTTGGTTATAATAGTGTGTTGTCTTTGTGATGGAGGAACCTCAGTATGCTAATACTCTTGCGCAATGGTTCAGGAACGTCTCGGATTCATCGTACAAGTGTGGTGAGTTAGAATAATACACGGAAACAAGTGTTTCAGGTATCATGTGTATCGATTAGTGAGCGTGTTACTATTTCACAGCTTAAAGTAAATGTATGAAATTAGTGAAGATCACCAACGTAGGTGATCTATGTTAATGACTGAAGGCCAACCCGAGTCAAACGAAAGTAGTGTGACCAATCAGTGTACGTCAAAGTCACAACTCACAGTCAATACACAATGTAGACTACCGTTTGATCGTATCCAGGCACTATGTGGAATTTGATGACCATATACCAGAGACAAAGATATCACAGAAACATATAAGTAAGAATAGCTAAAAGCAATATAGAGCGAATATTGACGTACAGCCCAGTTTGCTTGACGAATACTGATTGGGTGTCGATGGTAGCTGAATAATCATGTCAAACAAACTATTTTGCAAGTCCCTCAGTTTAGATCTGTATTTGTTAGGGATATAATAACGACAAAAGACATACAATACTTTTTTTACTTGACGCGAATAAGTCCAGAAATGTTTTGATTTTAAAACAAAGAAAATCGAGTCCGGTAATAATGCCAATAGGAAAAAGTTGATCTCAACTAGATCAAAACTAAAGAATTTCGTAGTAGGACCAGACAGTGTTTGCAAAGTTTTTGATTGAATCCATAAGGACTTTCCAGTAGAAGTGTTAAGGCTTTTTCACGTAATAAGTTGACAGGCTACATTTTTGTTATCACTACATGTTTATTCAAGACTGACATACTCGGTATTTCGTAGGATAATTAAGTGCTGTCGGCTAGCTTTTCTAGCTGACTCCAATCGTTTGTTTCTCGTACTTGAAAGAATTTTTCAAAATAGGAAGGATCACGTACTGGATTCCAACTTAAGGAAGGCATACTGATGTTTTCACCTATTAACTTAGCTCAAGGTAATGAAATAATACATCATTCAAATGACTGCCCATGGCATCAGAGGTACTTGGTGGTCTATGGATGCAACCGATTATAAAATGCTTCTGGAGAAAGTTATTCACAGTTAAGAACTCTAGTTCGCGACCCAGCCACTCGTCATGTTCACAAATCACAAAATCATTGAAGAGGGACGCAACCATACCTCCTAAATAAAAATGCAGTGTTATTTGAAAGCACAATAAAAAAACTGTATTTAGTTTATACAAAACTTCAAGAGCCTTCTCCTAGTATCCGCTAGCTCTGATTGGTTATGAAATAGCCAGTCAACATGCCTATAAGGAAATTTCTTGAATTCAGTATGTAGTGACTTTACTTCTTTGGTCGATCACCTCGATAACCGTTGCAATTTAAAACTCAGCGGTAAGTAAACCATGTAGCGTGGCGCCGAGTTGAGGTTGACTATGAACACCGCTACAGAGAAACACGTACCAAGTAAATCAGAAGGCGAGGGTTGAACGTAACCAGATAAATCCATAAAATCCCCGAGAAGCCAAATATCAGAAGGCAATTAATGGACCAAATTGAGATATATTCGGTGGCGATCTCGTGGCATCGAAAGGATACCAACATCGTGCCAGGATAGAAGCTTGGTTACAGAACGTAACCGAATTCGCGCGAAGTTACAATCAAAGTGTGTCTATATGAATGGAAGCACAAAATAGCTGTCATTAGCACAGCCAAACAAAAGCACATTAAAACGAGCACTGGTACCGTTGGTTATAATAGTAATAGTTGTTTTTATTAAACCAGTCGTGTTCTCGTGATAAATGTGAGCCACTACAACCAGAAGACAATGAAAAACGGCAACTACAGTTTATACTCAGATAGCGCAGACCACAAAGCTACAAGGATGTCGAGCGAATTTGAAGCGGAGAGGCGAATGAGTATGTGCAAACAATTGCGAAGATAAATTTATAGTCAAAATGCATAAGGGCTCAGCAAGGGAAAGTTTAAGCTAATAATATGGTTTGAGTACACACATACATGGGGAGGAGGGTGAATCATCGAGTGATATTTAAGCAATCAACATCTTAGCTAGAGCCTGTATGTGCTCTAGTTATCATAATGATACTGTAGTGAACAGAACACGGATGGGGAAAATCGAATGTATTTAACACAAAATTACAGGACTTGTTAATAAAATCTAACAATAAAACAGTAAATACGTAATTTGCAAAATGTCCAACAATTGTCTCAAAATGAATCAGACTTCATTGTTCCTGCACTTTCATACAGATTGCATTCTGTTTCTATTCTTTACTGTTCGATCCTTTTGTTTCTCTGCTGTCAGACATTCTGTTCACGACCACCATCATATACTACTTATAAGTAGCACACACCACAGTGCAAAGAAGTATGCGAATTTTTATTGTCGAAATAACATTATCTGTTAAGAAAGTTAATAAAAGGGCTCAACCAAAATTAATCATAGTCTAAATTGGTTGGAGGGTAGTTGCTATACGTCTATATACAGCTAAGAATTATGGTCGACAGAATTTCAAGTCGCACACATATTACAGTGGGGTGACCAAAAGTAGAATATAGAATCCAATGATTTTTGACAGTAAATATGCGATTAATTTTCTGCACGAGCAAATAAATGTGTGAATTCAACTTTAGGTAGTTAAATCAAGGAGAACGTTCTACAGCAAGTTGAATAATGATTAAGTAGGGATATTGAAAGTTATCCTGGAGTTATCCAGTGTTAAGTGAAACTAACAAGGTCACTATCAATATCCAATCATTAAGAAACCATTTATTTTGTTGAAATATCCACCTTTACAGGTGTAATTTAAAAAGTCAACTGTCTTTTGTCCTTAAATATGTTATACGAATATTTGAA